ACTGCGAGGACGGCGCGAGCGTGACGACGGCGGCTGTGCATGCGACGAGCGCGGGGGAGCTGGCGTGCCGCGCCGCGCCGGGTCGCTACGAGCTCGCCTACCAGCGCAGCTTCCCCGACCCGCTCGTCGCCCTGCTCTACCTCGACATCACTAACGACTCGCTGTGCGAGCTGATGGTCGCCTCGCTGAGGGGGCTTCACGTGCTGCAGGTACTCGCGGCACCCTCTAGTGACGCAACCGGCAGTTAGATGCGATATGATATGACTACTAGGCACTTTAATTTAATTATTTTTTTATTTTTTTTAGGGTTAGGGTTAGGGTTTAGGTTAGGTTAGGGTTAGGGTTAGGGTTTTTTTTTTTAAGTGCCTAGTAGTCATATCCTAATAGTAGTGCCTATCCCAATATAAGTGCCTAGTAGTCATATCATATCGCATCTAACTGCCGGGTGCTCTAGTGACCATCGCTGGTGGCGCCACCTAGTGACCATCGCTGGTGGCGCCACCTAGTGACCATCACTGGTGGCGCCAACTAGTGACCATCGCTGGTGGTGCCCTCTAGTGACCATCACTGGTGGCACCACCTAGTGACCATCGCTGGTGGCGCCACCTAGTGACCATTGCAGGTGGCGCCACCTAGTGACATCGCAGGTGGTGCCACCTAGTGACCTTCGCTGGTGGCGCCACCTAGTAATTATCGCTGGCAGCACCACCACAGATCTATGTGTATGATGACCGGGTGGTGCATTGCGGGAATGACTTAACGTCACTACGCTACCGCAGCTTTATAGATAACTGGGTCCTGCATTGTGGGAGCTATTTGATATCACTGTACCACCACTGCTCTATTTATGACAACTGGATGGTGCATTGTGGGAACTATTTGATGTCACTTGCATGCTTTCTTGATCAGGCCAGATGTAGAATAATCTGCAGGTATTGACAATGAGCAGTCTGGACATTGTTCAAATGTGCATTGCTATAACAATGAATACAAATAAGATTTTTGATTGAAAGCTATTCTCATTTAAACAGTGTAAAGTGAGTGATTATACAAAGTAATGTATAATTTTATATTATACTGACAACCATGGTATCTGTGGCTATACTGACCCTCATGTTGTCTGTGGTTGTACTCACCACCACGGTGTCTGTGGCTGTACCAACCACCATGGTGTATGTGACTGTATAGACTGCCACAGTATCTGGTTGTACCGACCACCACGGTGTCTGTGACTGTATGGACCGCCACGGTATCTGGTTGTACTGACCACCACGATGTCTGTGGCTGTACCGACCACCATGGTGTCTGTGGCTGTACCGACTACCACGGTGTCTGTGGCTGTACCGACTACCACGGTGTCTGTGGTTGTACCGACTACCACGGTGTCTGTGGCTGTACCGACTACCACGGTGTCTGTGGCTGTACCGACTACCACGGTGTCTGTGACTGTATGGACCGCCACGGTGTCTGACCTCATGTGTGGCTGTACTTTCCATCACTCCACGTCGTATTTTGTCTTCACCACACCTCATAAGCTCTCCAGCAGCAGCGCATGGAAGGCATCTTCACTGGGGAGATTGTCTACGACTGCCTTTAATCTACCCTTGCACAGCTTTGCGACATCCTGGAGATTGTGCTGCAAACAAATGAACAAAACTTGTAACTTATAGTTATGCTTGACAGCACCATCAAGAAACAGGTGAAACGCCATGCAACTTACACACTGCTAAAGACTTGCATGCATCCCTTCGGATTTCTGAGGTGCAAAGCTTTGTAGTCACCAGAGTATATTGACTAATGCTTACAAACTGAAAGTGTGTGGCACTGACTGATCTATATAAAACAATTGAATAGTGAAATGTCTTATCACTGTTTGCTTACAGAAGTCAATTTTACAGTCATTTTGGTCAGTCACATACACCATGGTGGTCGGTACAGCCACAGACACCGTGGTGGTGAGTACAACCACAGACACCGTGGTGGTCGGTACAACCACAGACACCGTGGTAGTCGGTACAGCCACAGACATCGTGGTGGTCAGTACAACCAGATACCGTGGCAGTCCATACAGTCACACACCGTAGTGGTCGGTACAACCAGATACTGTGGCAGTCCATACAGTCACATAAACCATGGTGGTCGGTACAGCCACAGACACCGTGGTGGTGAGTACAACCACAGACAACATGAGGGTCAGTATAGCCACAGATACCATGGTTGTCAGTATAATATAAAGTTATACATTACTTTGTATAATCACTCACTTTACACTGTTTAAATGAGAATAGCTTTCAAATAATAATTATAATTATTGTACATACCACTTGTTCAGAAGACAGTGAAAGATATTTACATGAAAGTAAAGTCAATTTAAAATCCTATGACTGTTATTAAATTATATTAAATTATATTTATTATAAAATGTGTTAATTTTGTGTTTTCTATTTTGCTTCTTTTGTATGTTTTTTGTATCCATCAAATAATATTGTATATTTTCGGTTGGATGTATAAAAATTAACTGAATGCTATATTTGCATTTTTACATGATTGGCGTGACACTGATCACTTGATTTGGAAAATTATAAATTGTAAACCTAATTCACACCAGATGGTAAATATCCCAAAAAGTAACTGGGAATTACAGCTCCCACACTGCATTTGAACACCCGTGCTGCCGTTTTTACCTTCATTTTTTTAAAGGTGGAAAGTTAATGTCCAGATTTCATGCAAATTGAAGGCTAATAAATTTTCGATGAATCAATCTTGCACATTACGTAACAAAAATTGTCTATATTCAATTATGTATTCTATGGTAAAACTAGTGCATAAATAGTAGTCTCATTACATGCAGAGTTCACTGCAGCTACCCATGTGAATTCCATGTTTGGATGTACAGGTATGTCGTGATACAGGTGAAACATCTAATGCTGTGCAAAACGTACTTATATGAAAACACTGGGAAGACTGAACACTATTTATTGGCATTCACATTTATTGTTTCACAATCTGCTATCTTGTTAACAACACAAGCGCATGAGGGCCAGTTCCAAATTATTCTGATAGCACTCACACTGCCATATCAGAAAATAGCAACGGTGAAATACTGATAACCGAGGTACGTCCAAAAGGATATATAACCAATGATGAGGATGGTATAGTACAGAGATATAACTAAAAAGTTACAGTAAAAGTAGGTATGAAAAGTAGCACCAGTAACCATTTTTGGTCTAAATGTAAATGTGAGGTACCCACGAGTACCTGAAGACGTCCATCTCTGGGATTTTCTAATTTATAGACTAGTAAAGTGCATGTGTAGCAGAATTAACAAGGTAATAAATAGCAAAATTCAAACATGAGAAACTGCATGTAGTACTGGAATATTAGTCTCAATAGTACTATTGACACCACAAGTGCATACTGGCAAAGCAAATTGTCACGGTCATGACGTCTGCACCAATGGAAAAAGACGGTCTTGTGATAGATACTACACATGTCCCAGCAAATGGTCTTGCTGAAACACCAGTATTCACTAATGTCACAGCAAAAGTCTGGCAGCAAAAGGCTGTTTTCATACACTAACTAGAAATCAAAGTGGTGCTTTCACAATTTTCACTAAATTATTATAAAAATAAAAATTTGGCCCCATCGGTATAAGACCACTGTAGATGGGGCATCCTATGTCCTGCAACAGATTGCATACTAAAAGTCCAGCTTTCAGCGAAATCTGATGCAAAGACCTAGGAATGGGGGCAGGTGTGATGAAACAGGAATGCTATCAGAAAAACCTTTGAAATCCCTATTTCGTCTTGGCTGCTGAATGCAGAGAATACTGCTGAAAAACGCAGTTTCTTATCGCAACAACAGCAAGCCGCACTGCTCTACTCGGTTAAAGCACAAGCAACCATAAGAGGGCAAAGACGTGGCATGACGCTGTCACTGCTGTAGAGGAAGACGAGAGAGGTGACATTTAGTATTCTCTCACCACCAGCTAAAAAAATTATTTATAGCAACTCATCCTCTCTCTCTCTCTCTCTCTCTCTCTCTCTGTTCCTCTCTCTATATCTCACATGATCTCTGAGCTATAAATCTTTTTTTAACCCTGTAGGGAGGAGGGAATTACGTGACTCTTGAGCAAGCTCAGCCTTCCTTTCTCTGCCAGCAGAGAAGAGCGGGGAGCCACTTTTAATGTAGGCTATACCTAAAGGGAGGGAGGGAGGAGTGAGAGGGCAATACTCTGCAAAGGTCTTCTTCTTGTCTGCAGGAAGGAGCAAGCAGGTGTCTCTACGGTCTTCCTCTTTTCATGTTCGCTGCAAGGCAGGGTCCACGCCTCAAATGGTGTATCTTGTAGTCTACCGAGAGGAGAATACGAGTCATACCCTCCAGTACTGGCTCGGGTGTGCTAGTTGATCCGCTGGGAGGAGTGAATCCTGAAATAATAACACAATCAATTTGCTTCAAAATATATTGTTGGATATCTTACCCATATAATAACACCATTTTAATCCTGGTTATGAAGCTCACAAACATCATACATAATATCAGAAGTAGATAATAGGGAAGGAGTGTGACTTCAATAAACAAGGGAAATTCGTCATTTACTAGCCTTAGAATACCTACGATTTACTACGCGTAACTCAGCCAACTTGAGCTCAAATGGTATACACTTACATTCGCCTAGCATCGTGCGAAATCCAGGGATGAGATTGGATAATTTAATTTTCAGCTGAAATTTTAATTAGCAAACAGAGGAGCGAGCAATGCGAGGACCGTAGGTCATCGCCATGCTAGGGGGGTCCGGGGGTATGCTCCCCCGGAATTTTTTTAAAAAAAATGGTGCAATTTGGTGCATTCTAAGCTATTCTGAACAAATTATAGGAGACTCTTGAATCACATTTTCAAGTTGTCAAAAGGAACAAACGAACTATAATAGGAAATCAGGGGGCTGAAAATAGGGCAAGTTTTTTTATTAAATGTCTAGACATAATGATATTTTTCTGTTTCCACCCGTCGCTTGCATTGTTTTACTCAGACATAAGCTGCGCCTTGCTGCGACCAGATTTGAATGAAAAAAACACAATGCGAATGGAACAATCAGTGCATAGTCATGCACACAACATGCACACAGCAACATGTAAACCCGGCCCCCAGGCCAGGCATGGTCGTTACGTGATCAGCTACCTCAAATGTTTGCCCCTCTACTGCAGCCTGTGAACGAGGATTTTCTTTTCTGGTACGCAAAAACAGATACACTGTATACTTCGCTGTCAGCCTACTGTCTACACTCTACAGTCTAGTCAGGTGCTGTTGAGGGTATATAATTTAAATTGTTACATTGTTACCCCCCTCCCAATTTTCTCAACGAATTTAGACGTTTCACAAAATCGACCCCTGGGACTGTCAAATCTGCGGATTTCCGCGGATCCGCGGAAGAATCTCATCCCTGGAAATCGTTTCCTCGTATACACCCGCAATCCGGAGATACAGACTAAAACGTACGACACGATTCTCCATTCTGTTGCCAGCAAATCGACTCCATAACCCGCCTAACTTGACACAATAGGCAGCTACTAACGACTCTTGCGCGCTCAGCGATGCGGTGTGGCTCGCTGGGAGATTGGACATCGACGCAACACTCGGCGAGCTAATCTTTGACCTATTTACAGCTGGTATGCCCCCCACGCACGCACGCCCACCGCAATCAGCAGCAGCTCCAGCGCCAATCTCCCAGCGAGCCACACCGCATCGCCGAGGGCGCAAGAGTCGTTAGTAGCTGCCTATTGTTTCAAGTTAGGCGGGTTATGGAGTCGATTTGCTGCCAACAGAATGGAGAATCGTCGTACGTTTTAGTGTGTATCTCCGGATTGCGGTTGTATACGAGGAAACAATTTCGCACGATGCTAGGCGAATGTACTGTGTACGATTTGAGGCTAGTAAATGACGAATTTCCCTTGTTTATTGAAGTCACACTCCTTCCCTATTATCTACTTCTGATAATATACAGCATATATAATTTATTCTCCATGTACAAAATAGATCCATTTAGATTTGGCCCAAGATGGAAATGATTTGAAGATTTTTTTGAATGATAGTATTATGATACTACTTTTTATTACATTTACATACACTATTACAGTTTTTATTAAACCTATATTTATTATAAATGAGATCTATATATTTTAAATGTAATTCTAATTTAATATGTTAATTCTTTTATTGTCTATTAACGAAAACCCAATAAAAGAGGATTTGTTAAACGAGGTATGATAGTAAAACAAACGATAACTAGTGACATATGTTAGCTGGTTGCCAGAACAACTATGTAGCCATACCTGACTAGATGTGGGTAGCAAACTGCTTGCTGTCATGGCAACGGTTCCTGTTGCCAATGCCGACGTGCAAGCAGAATCGGCATATTCATACTGCGTGCTGTCTGGGTGTGTTCTTATAGAATCTGTCAGCGACATAGTAAAGTAGAGCTGCTCAAATCTCACATTATTAATGAAACTTACACACTACAGGATACCTATTCTGTACGGGATCTCTGCTACACAGGGAGGGCCACCAAGTGCCAAAACCACTCAGTTTCACGAAGGAAGCTTAATTATTTTTGTTATTTATATCGCAAAATAAATATTGACATTGATTTTTAACATGAATTGACCTATCCGCCTGGTGGGATTGTAAATCAGCTTTTGCCAATCAATGTTGTGACAGGACGCTCGGCTAGTATCGCAGTTGACATTTCGGTATGCGCGCGTGAAAAGCATGTTGAAACTGGGCGAGATCGACCGACCTAGCAGGGGGCATGGGGCAACATCTACGGGGGCATGGTTGGAACACCCAGCTAGACAACTCTCTTATAGTTCTCGCATCGCGTCTCGATCGTCGACGTGCCGTGAGACCGCTGCGCTGCACACTCACCGCTGTGTTTCTCGTAAGATGGCAGCCGGTACGGCAGCAGCACGGGCGACAGCGCCGATAAGCTTCGCACGTCCGGTTGACTAGACGGGCACGTGTGTGCGCCGAGCGAAGTGGGAAACGCAAACGAGTAGGCGGGGACGTGGGGAGAGGAGAGCGTGGAGGAGTAAGAGGGGACGTGGGGAGAGGAGAGCGTGGAGGAGTAGGGAGGGACGTGGGGAGAGGAGAGCGTTGGGACGTGGGGAGAGGAGAGCGTGGAGGAGTAAGAGGGGACGTGGGGAGAGGAGAGCGTGGAGGAGTAGGGAGGGACGTGGGGAGAGGAGAGCGTGGAGGAGTAGGAGGGGATGTGGGGAGAGGAGAACGTGGAGGAGTAGGGAGAGGAGAGCGTGGAGGAGTAGGAGGGGGAGTAGGTGGAGGGATGGGCAGAGACGCAGCAGGAGGGGAGGGGCGTGGGGTGTGGCGAGCGCAGCAACGCAGCCAGGGCGAAGTCTTTGTCACGCGATTGCTGCTGAAGCACCTTGATCATGGCGTCTCGTTCCGCTAGCTGCGTCTTCGAGTCCTCCAAACTGAACAAACGTACAAGCAGACGTTTAGTTCCGATAACAACGCGGGGTGTGACAGGCCATATGTCCATATATTACACACACGTCGTCAACTCTGTCGTAGAGGTGCTATTCATTACTCACATTCATGGCACTCATAATTCATCGGTATTCATGCTCTAACCTCCCACAGTGTGCAAGACCTATCAGCAGCTCAAACGAGTGTGCATGCTTATGCAGTCAACTGCATTCTTGATGCACGTGACGCTTGGCAGCTTGCTTGAACTCTAGATACATCTCAATTTGATCTACCAGTGCTATAGCTGTATACCCAACTTACTGGCACTCTAGACTCGTGCACTTGTGTTGCATGCCAACCAACTGTTCCATATGCTGCAGTTTCTCTAACGGAGGACCAGTCAGCAACTTCTCTCTGCTCTTCTGCATCATCTCAGCCTCTCTGTAAGTGCAACAGATCGCCCGCGCAATAATTATAATGGAAACGACAAACGTATTCTGTGGCTTATAAGATGCTCCGATGCATTGGAAGGTGATAATCGTAAAAAAAAGTTTGACTATATAATAGCCCTTCCTATTACCATATGTTCACAATAAATAAGGTCCCGACATGTTTTTCTTTAAATTTCTATCCCTCGATTTCCCAGCATTTCAATATCCCTATCAGCACGGGTTAGTATATCTGTAGGGTATTGTGCTAAAGTGTATAATTTACTATTTTATAGCTAAAAATATCAGCTATTAATAATGTCTACTACACAGGCCTTTAACTTCGTAGATGCAAGTGGATTGTATAGACATACTCTGAATAAAAATGTGCATCGTACAAACTGCTAATACGGTTCGCAACAGCCGAGCAATGACAAAACAATGGTGGTATAAGCAATAAAACCAGACTCCAAAGGCCATAGCACATCATCTGAAAACAAGTGGTGGGAAAAATAACATGCTGATGAACAGTGAAAACTAAACAAATTGAACAAATGCACTCTTCAGCATATTAGATACACGAAACCGATGAGTGAGCCGTATGTGAATGGCGAGGCACACGGGCCATTCTTTGGGGCAGCGAATATAGAAACATGATACCTGCCTTTTAAGTGATGCTGCTGCATCAATGGACTGCTGACTTCTAGTATACTGCTCATTATACCTAAGCTCCCACTGTAAAAACAACAACAGAGAACACCTAAAGAAATGCACTTACGTGAGTCATAAAAATGCGTCTTATATTTTATTTCTTAAACTTGTACGATGTAGTATTTGTATGTAATGAGATCCCTGCATATTAAATTGATAGTGCGATACTATTAGGGGAAGATTTTCGTACCTGTAGAAGTTCAGGTTGCTCGATAATCAGTGTGTCCTCCGTTAGAGCAGTTTTGCCTGTTAGCTGTATATTACCCACTGTTGTGTCGGCCCTATCCTGCTGTGTGCTGCCCCCTGTTGTCATGGCACTATCCTGCTGTGTGCTGCCCCCTGTTGTCATGGCACTATCCTGTTGTGTGCTGCCCCCTGTTGTCACGCCACTATCCTGCTGTGTGCTGCCCCCTGTTGTCACAGTATTATCCTGCTGTGTGCTGCCTTGATGCTGTATCGTGCTCTCCTGCAGTGTACTACTGTTGCTGCCTGATGTCTCCAATCTCGTCAGTTGTGTACTGCTTCTGATCATCTCTGGTTTATCCAGTTGAGTGCTGCCGCCTGCAGTCTCAGCTCTTGCCACTTGTGTGGTGCCACTCCCTGTCATCTCCAATCTTGCCTGTTCTGTGCTGCTCCCTGTTGTCATGGCCTGAAACGAAGTCACGGACAACGCATTGCATTCATTCCACGTCATTCCTAACATCATCTTCAAACGAATTCATTATACGACCTAAGTCCTATTCATTATATAGTTAAGTAGAGTAGTGCCCACCTGTTGCTCCCGCATAGACCCAAGCTGCCGTTGAAGCTTGCTTCGAAGCTGCCGCTCGTCTTGTTCACGTTTATTACTTGCCAGTTGCAGTGATCCTAGCGCCCTCTGCAGATGGTCTACCCGGTCAACGTACGTCTGCTTTTTGCGACACTGTAGAGACGAAAGGTAGCAGACGTAAAAGCTTGCACACACGCACGACACTGTGAACATGTCGTGTGAACTACTTCTTCACTCACAATTTCCGAGATATGACACTATGCATCACCTCATGGGTACACACAATGTTGGGCATTTTCAGCAGTTAGATAAACAAAACTCGAATTCATCGATAACTAGAAATATAATTTCCCATCAGCTATGCCTTTCTCTCTGTATACATCTAACAAGTCATACCTCTTCCTCTAATCGGACAATGTTAGACTGGGCACTAGTAAGAGCGCTGTCTAGAATGTCTATGTGCGTGCGTTGTTCTGAAAGTGTAGCCCTCTGTGCTGCCAATTCGATCTCTTGATGCTCTTTCAATGCGATTAATTCTTTACCTGGAAAGGATTATGTCAACACTAATATACATGTACCACATTTCGTGGCTTATATGATGCCACAACATTACAGACACTCCAAATTTAGAAGATAGTAGTATGAAGGAAAGGTTTGACTGTATAATAGTTCTCCCTACTAACAAGTAAATGATCAACATAAATAAGCAAGTATCTTTGTTTTCTTCCTCAAACTCGAATAAAAATTATTAAAAAACAACTTTATTTTTAAAATAAATTAAAAGCCCCGTTTACTATGAGAATTAACTAGTATATATTGTGTATGCTATTCTGCCAAAGTGCTATTATATACCATACATTGACAAGGTGTGGGGCAGGGATGGCAATGTCAGTAAGTGGAGGTGACAAGGTATGGCACAGCAATGGCAATGTCAGTGTCTGGAGGTGACATTGGGATGGCAACATAGGTGCCTGGATATGACATAGGAATGGCAACATTTGGTATCTGGATGCAACAAGGCAATGGCAATGTCAACGAAACAAGTGGCTGTAACATTACTCTGTTGTAAGAGCTGCGGAATGATGGCTGGATCCGTCTCGTCCATCTCCCCCTTCTCCGACTTGCACACGTGGGCTCTCGTTGCATCTAGCTGTTCTACAAGGTCATGTACAGATAACTGATTAACATGACTGAAGCACAGGCCCTCTGCTATATCAACAAATGTCAACGGTTTCAATTTTAACGCCGTTACTTCATTTAGCATGTGTTTTTATTGGGAGTGCTGAGATTAGGATGATGGGGAGCAGCTGATTATGTGGCGGCAGGAGGGGCACAACAGCACGGTGGAGCAGCAGAGTGAGCGTGAGGGAGTGTCGTAGAGTGTGAAGAGATGCCGCATAGCAGGAATGCGCAACAGTGGAGCCGTGCGTGTTGTAGGCGTGTAACAACACGTGTGGAATGTAGGAAACGTGGGGGAGTAAAACAACAGGGAGCACACTAAGGTGGTACAGTTAGGGTGCGTGTAAAATAGGAAGAACACAAAATGGAGCTGATTTCGATTCCACCGATTTGTGGCCAATTGGCCATAAAAGTGTGGCAAATCTAGGTATGAAAAACAGTATTATTTTGCAAAATAAAGATCTCGAAGTTTTTATGTCAATTTAGAGATGGAGGTAAGATATGCACTAAGATCAGATATGCAAATTTAGGCACGTCAGACAAAAGGATAGTCAAAATTCACATTAAACTTTCTCCTTTTTACACTCTATTTGGGTCTAAGGCAGTTGTACTGAGTAGTCAAAACGCACCTATTTAACATAAACAGTACACAACTGTTAAACAGTAACATAACTCTTTAAGCACTATGTTTTATCTTATTATTTTCAACTGAACTACCTATTTTCAAAATGTTTGCATGCTGTGACGAATTTCACTTTTCATTATCCACACCTGTAGCTACACTGAGAAAAACCTTGCCTACATGAGAAAAAGCGTGGAGAGAAAGAAAAGGCTGCAGCGTGGAACTAGTCTTGAACAAACCTTTTAGCAGCTTATTGCCTTCCTCGAGCCTTCGCACCTCCGCCTCGAGCTTGACCCGCAGCGCCCTCTCTAATCGCTCGCGCTTCTGCTGGGACCGCGCCAGCGCGTCGTGTCCCTCGTGCAGACGCTGTATCTCAAGCTCGAGCTGCGGCGAGAACGACAGACGAATCACGACACACGGAAAGTCACATGGGAAGCCACCGTGACACACGCGGGGAAGCCACACGGGCATACACCGTGACACATGGAAAGTCACACGGGCAGACACTGACACATGGGGAAGTTACACACGGGCAGACACCGTGACACACAGGGAAATCACATGGGCAGACACTGTGACACGTGGGGAAGTTACACACGGGCAGACACCGTGACACGTGGGGAAGTTACACACGGGCAGACACCGTGACACACAGCGAAATCACATGGGCAGACACTGACACGTGGGGAAGTTACACACAGGCAGACATCGTGACACGTGGGGAAGTTACACACGGGCAGACACCGTGACACATGGGAAAGTTACACACGGGCAGACACTGTGGCACGTGGGGAAGTTACACACAGGCAGACACTGTGACATGTGGGGAAGTTACACACGGGCAGACACCGTGACACATGGGAAAGTTACACACGGGCAGACACTGTGACATGTGGGGAAGTTACACACAGGCAGACACTGTGACATGTGGGGAAGTTACACACGGGCAGACACTGTGGCACGTGGGGAAGTTACACACAGGCAGACACTGTGACATGTGGGGAAGTTACACACGGGCAGACACTGTGGCACGTGGGGAAGTTACATGGGGCAGACACCGTAACACACAGGGGAAGCCACACGGCCAGACACCATAATATGCGGTGAAGTCATGTAGATAGACACTGTGACACGTAATATCGTGACATCACACAGGGAAGTCACAGGGTTAGACGCCATGACATCACGGATGAAAGTTACTTGGGTGGACACGGTGACACGCAGGCAGCAGGGTATTCCTACCGCTGATTTTCAGTGACAGTTGACAATCCCACACAAGCACCAAAAATAGACATGATTCTGATGTTGTCCCACGCATTCCCAGAATATTCAGGTTGCAGTATATATACCGGATACAAAATTTGTAACAACAAGTCCCGGATATGACGTGCAATGCATGTAACCTACTAACCGCATTCAAAAATGTTTCAACGTGTGATTGCATTACTTAATTTTGAATAATATCCACTTTTAATCATACCGTTCAGTCTTGAAAAAGGGTCTCGATCTCCAGTCAGATCTGATTCTAAAAATTATTATTTCTACTATATAACCGACAGTTAATACATAAAAAATTGCCAATCCTGCTGAAACGTTACCAGTCTTGGACTGCGGGGCAGGCTGCTAATTTCAACAGTGATTAACCATGCCACACCCACTTTCTGTAAACTGCTGTGACACACCCACTCCCTGTCCACTGCCATGACACACCCACTTTCTGTAGCTGTGACACACCCACACCCTGTCCACTGCCATGACACACCCACTTTCTGTAGCTGTGACACACCCACACCCTGTCCACTGCCATGACACACCCACACCCTGTCCACTGCCATGACACACCCACTTTCTGTAGCTGTGACACACCCACACCCTGTCTACTCCCACGACAAACCCACTCCCTGCCCACTGCCATCATGACGCACACGTGTCGTCGTCGTCGTCGTCGTCGGCTGGCACCTGCCTCACCTTCTGTAGCTTGGAGACCTTGCAGTAGTACTGGTCGAGCTCAGCGCGCAGCGCCGCGTTCTCTTCCGACAGCAGCTCGAGCATCTGCGTCGCCCGACAGGCGATGTCCTCGGGATCGACCTTGAGCGGCGCCGACGTGCCAGGCCTGCTGGACGATAGCGCCGGGGCCGAGGCATACCTGCAAATACATACAGCTACATAAGGCATACAGCTAACACTGTAGAGTAACGGTGAGGAGGCATGCCTCACTCACTCAGCATGGACAGTGTGAGGTCAGCTAACACTGTAGAGTAACGATGGGGAGACATACCTGCATGGACAGTGTGAGGTCAGCTAACACTGTAGAGTAACGATGGGGAGACATACCCGCATGGACAGTGTGAGGTCAGCTAACACTGTAGAGTAACGATGGGGAGACATACCTGCATGGACAGTGTGAGGTCAGCTAACACTGTAGAGTAACGATGGGGAGACATACCTGCATGGACAGTGTGAGGTCAGCTAACACTGTAGAGTAACGATGGGGAGACATACCTGCATGG